AACCCGGAATAACCATTAGTAAATAACATGGTATTCCTTCCAGGAATGGAAGACGCCTCACGTCGTACACCAGTCGGTTGCCCGCGACCGCATATGAATTTATGAGTTAGATAAAAACAAGTTACGATTAATAAACGTAAGAAGTAAATAAAATATATTTTGAATCTTTGTGTCGGTTGCTAGTTGCACTTTCTGAACTTACCTACGTATAATTAGACGATACATCCTGTTTTATTTTCTATCATACATTGCTTACAATGTTCATGTATGAAACGATGTACGAAAAACACTGCTACAATTACGACGACGCTCAACGCCTCGCTGCGTGTGCATAAACAGGCCTAAACCAAGTGGAGGATTACTTTCAAATTGTACATTTTTACCCCTTAAGTACCTTATCTGGTTGGCATTCTTAATTTATCTTATTTCGCTGGGTAGCTTTTATGCGTAAGAAACCTTCAAAAGGTGTCCAACATTTTGGGGAGCTAAAGCTAGGGAGTGTGGCATTTTTATCTAACTTACAGCCTTTAGTAGCCACCACTATCATTTAAGTGTGGGAGATGCTTGCATGCTTCGGCACGAATGGGTCGCCCCGATCGGAGTGATACCACGGCCTCACAGAAAACCGGCGTGAAACAACCACAGCGTTGCGTTTCGCCGTGTGGTTGAGGTTACCGGAGGCCCAATCCTCCCCCTTGCACCCTTACCCCCAATCCCTCCTCAATCCCTAAATATCCAAATCCCTAATACCTAAAAGGTCGGCAACGCATTTGTAACTCCTCCGTTGCGAGTGTCCATGCGCCCATGGACACCCGCAACATAAAAAAAAAACATCACCAGTTTCTCTTAGAGACCTACTCCAGTACGAACTAAGTTAGGAAGGTACCCCTACATATGTACATCATTGTTATAATATCAGTCTCAGCTAGACAAGGCGCCTACTGTTGTAGATCTCCCCCAACCATTTCCAGATAGGCCGGTTCGAAACAACAACCTGCTTCCAGCTGATCCCTGCAACCTTAATCAATCGTCAGTCCATCTTGGTTCCTACTTTGTCACTATGGACAGACGAAAGGCTGTAAGTCATTCACGTAAAATAAAAACTGGGGATGGAAGTCGATGAAAATTGCACAAACAAAATGGGGATCCAGATAATGCCGGCGATGCGGCTGACGAGTGTTACTAAGTGACATTTGCCCTGAATATTGGTGAAAATTAGTTATTAGTACTTAGGACTGTGTAGTATCCACTACATCTCACATTTACGTAGCTAGGCAGAATCTCTGCTAGTACGTACGTGGTACTGCATACTTACAATTGCTTGCAAGGATTTTTTTGATATCATGATTGGAATAAAATGCACAAAGAATGGCGGAAACGGCCTTGGACATCTATTAACTTATTGAAGACAAGGAAATAATTCCAATTATCCCTTGCACATTGTTATTTACTAGTTTTTTCTCTTCCTCTTTTTACTTAATTAGAACAGATATCAAATAAGGAAATATAAATATTATGAAAGATAGGGATGGATATTATTATTGTCCGCAGTATGACAAATTGTTATGACAACGGCAAAAAAAAACCCAAAAAATTACTAAACAACTCTCGAGTTTCCAACACGAGCGCCCTCAAGCATTTATGTTGTAGGTGGTCACCTGGATATATGCCGCCTGAAGCGAAGGAAACTTCTCAAATATCGGAATATTCCACTTTTAGTTACATCCCTAATGAATTGTTATTAGTAAACATTGGTTACATTACACGTATTCGCTAATTGGTGACGTCGACAACTAATTATAATCAGTAAGTAGGCAGTGTTTACAAAGAAACTGATATTTTATTTTTTTCTTCTAAACGGATATATTTGGACTAATGAAGCGAAAAACTGATACAGTTTATCGAGGTGTGTTGCTAGGTTACAGTCGTAGCCCCATTATTCGCTTTTTGTTTTAAGCTACACCTACGCATTGGGTTCAAGCCACTCGTCGTTCTTATTTTGAGAGTCTATAAGCCTTATTAGCTCCGATCTTACATGAAAATGTTACGATTAAGTAGCTATAAATTACACGGCCATTATTGTTATTTTGTACGACTACTCATCATATGCTTGACAGATCCAAGAATGTGTATAAGGGATTTTTAAAAAAAAAATATTTTTCTTTGTTTTCGATTGTTCCTACAGAAGGAAAATCCTTTTCTAAACCTCTTCAATTAATTGGAAAAAATCTCTTCTCTTTTATAAGTAGGTATGATATGAATAATATTAGCGCCGGTAGGTATCAGTCAGCAGAGAAATCAATAAAATGGGATTCATAGTTACAACACTGTTTATATTGAAACTAAAATGTCTTAAAATTTTGAGATTTTAGATTTTTATATTTGAAGGAAGGGTTGAAGTTTCCTTTGCTGTCCTTGTTTAAAATCCGTACACAGAAACTGCCCGAGTGTGGATGACGATTAATGAAACACCAAAAGCATAATCACAAGAAGTATGTAATTTTAAATACTTTTTTTTACATGGCGCTGCAGATACTGTTTGGATGCACTAACGGAACGTCATTTATTTCTGATCAAAAATTGTTTACCTGATTCTGGGTGCCATGTGACTCGGGGTGAGGGTCAAGCACATTAAGGTTCCGCAGGCTCGGCCTGGAGCAGGAACGGTTTTCAGTGAGTAGAGCCATCTCGCTTTAAGACGACAGAAGCCATTTGATGATGTTCCTCCACAAAAAACGTCTAATATGACTGTATACGAACCAAACGAAGAAATTAGAATCACACCGAAGGTTTTTTTAAATGATACAATTTTCTAATTGTAAGAAGCGGTAACTTAGTACAACTTATGACATAGGAATTTTTAAAAGCATCGCCTTATCATTAACTATGTAGAATATTGTATGTATCCCATATTTTGCACTTCGCTGAAAAAATCTAACAAGACTTTTTGACTAGCACATCGAACCTTGCATGTTAGCTGTCGTGTTTTTTGTAGGCGGCCCAATAAAGCGGTTAAGATTTTTTTTGTATCATCATCATCATCATCATCAGCCGGAAGACGTCCACTGCTGGACAAAGGCCTCCCCCTTAGCTCTCCACGTCGAACGACAAGTTGCCACCTGCATCCATTGGCTCCCCGCGACTCTGACAATGTCGTCGGTTCACCTAATTCTAAATTTCTTTAAAATCCAAACCTATACCTATTATAAATGCGAAAGTACCTAACTCTGACTGTCCGTCTGTCTACGGAACCGATTTCTGTGAAATTTGGTACAGACATAGTTCGAACTCGAAAAAGGACGTAGGATAGTTTGGATACCAAAAATCTGCATGAAGTGATTGTTGCACGCGAACGGAGTTGCGGGCGAAAGCTTGTATTCTTCATAAAAGATACTACAGTAACTTTACATAATTTGACTCACAAGGCATACTTTTGCGGCTTTTCATTTCGTTCGCTGGGATGAGCCTCTCATCCAGCATCATGTTGCGTTCAATGTCTCAGTTCAAATGTTTTGCAAGTTTGTAAGGATATAGGTATTATCGAGCAGGTACGTTATTTATTTATGATTAACTTCCAACTTTTAAACATTCATTTGAATTGTAACCGATCACGACAATACCTTTATGTGCAAGGTCTTATCAACATAACTGATCGAAATTCGTTTCACGGGACCACAGGGTCCCGGATCTTTAGAAGGCGTACGAGGGGCTGAAGCCAAGTCGTAGAGGCCCTTTGAACAACATTAATATTAGTGAAATGGGACATCAGCCGCCAATTATCATTTTATGTACTATATCTATCACTTATAAGTTTATTATTACTTATACAAATTACATAATACCAGTTTAAATTACAGAGCACATAATAACTAGTAGTTATTACGTGCTCTTTTATTTGTTTTCTATGGTATTAAAATTTCCTTTGTGACTTTTTACTCCATTAAAGGCAGAATATTTTATTTGTTGAACAATGAAGTTCAAACAATTAATGTACCTTTCGGTCATTATTTTCTCATACAGTAGCAGGGTGATATAGCAAACACTTATCCAAGGTTAATTTCTTGTAGGTTTACTTCCAGGTATGAAGACCAAACGACCTTCCGAAGACCGCACGTCCATCATCATTGTGTATCTAAGGCAAGCTATTAACTTTAGCTTAAGTTTCATCCGTAGACAATGTTGTGCTATATTTTCTAATCAAACTAAATCGAAGACTGATGTCGCCGTTATTCACATGCTGTGTACTTACGACGTGTTTGTTTTGTCAAGTAACTTTACAGGACCGATTTTGTTTTTTGCCCCACACTAGAATTATCTCCTGTGTCGTGGTGGTTCTTTACAAACATACAATTTTACATATACATCACACCCAGACCTGGAACAACAATTTTGTGGATCACACAAAGAGTTGTTCCGTGCGGGAATTGAACCCGAGACACGTTGCGCGGCAGCCAGTTGCCCAGCCACCGCGCTAACTGCGCAGTTCTTCCAGTTTTATTTTATGCATTAGGAAACTTTTAGGAACAAGGCTTTTTGTTTAAATGATTTCTGAGACTATCTTTAGTTTCATCGTCGATTGAGAATTTATTCGTGTATTGTGATAATTTAGGATTAGTTCAAAAATTTGTGATAAGTATGAAGGCAAGATTTAACCCACTGTGTGATACTAGAGTTCAATAAATTGACAGAATAAAATCGTTATCTGGCGTAGAGTGCAGGCAGGCCCATCAGGGCGCGCATCACGGGGGTGGCAACCCCCACTACAGTCGCTAATTACTTGACCCGCTAAACTTAAACTACCTAAAATATTGACCACGTTATCGACTGGCCATGTTCATGGTAATTGGAAACTAGAAATCGTTTTAGCCCTTCTATTTTAGTTTATTAAATCATAGTCTAATAGGAAAAAGAAAACAACAGAGTTATAACTTACGGATTTATTACTTAAAAATATTTTAACAAACAAATAAATTAAACAAATACGATACAATTCAATTGATTGGGAGTCAAACGAAGCTGAAGTTGCGCCATCTGAAAATTACAAACGAGACATTAGTAAATTGTATTACTAAAAGTAACAAATTTTGAATCATGATTTATAATGTTTGGCAAAGATAACAAATAAAAAGACAGACAGAGAAATCGATATATAAATTAGAGAAGTATAAAGACAAAATCAGTATACCAACATAATAACACAGTAAAGAAAACAATTCAGATAAATCAAGAATATAGGAAGAAACAAAACTTCTTGATGTTGATACTGATCTTCATGATGGATGTACGCGACAAAGAAGTCAACAAAGCTGGCTGTGATATGTTCATGAACCTCATAAGACACAGCCACTTTGCTGACCCCTGGGTGCGCTTCTTGTGCTTGAGGTGTTTCTGATGTCGCTCAACTACGCTGATGAAAGCAAATGATGCTCAGCGCTCATCAAAGCTGGCTGTGATATGTAAACACACACACATTACAACCACTTTGTGAGCGCCGCAGCACTCGCACACCGCGTGCTGCTCGGAAGTCATGATGGCATTGGAACCGCGCTCGTCGTAACGTCTCCCAGCCCAACTCGTCAAAAATGGCTGTGATATGAGTCGGCTACATGGCACAACCATTTTTACGAATGGGCCACGGACCTGCTTACCTACTAGCAGTGCTGTAATGACGTGGTGCTCTCCGTAAACCGACCACATCAAAGTGGCTGTGATATGATGACGGATACATTTCACCGCCGCTTTGACAGGCTAGGCCCGGGAAACCATTGACCCACTACTACTACAATCCCTGTGAAGGTCCGCATAATGATGTCAGGAATGAGGTCATGCTCATCAAAGCTGGCTGTGATAGCTACATTATGACCTATAACAAGCCGACTTTGATGGCAAAACCACATTTAATTTTGCCAAAACTTGAAATTCCAATTATTCCTCTGGAAATATACACGGTTAATTTACGACACGTATTCATTTGATATCGATGATAAAGTATCTTACCTACCTAAAAACTGAAAGCATAACACGTAAGATATTATACCATGAGAGAGCTTACATGAACAAATAAAAACAATAACGACATAGCACACGTAGATATAGCAAATACAATATACACTGGAAAAGTTGTAAAGAATGAATGAACAATGGTCAATTAATTGGTCATTCAATCTTGTCATACAATTTAATATGCAAATTGAAACCACAATACAATTATTTGTCACAATATAAACAAAACAGTAGTTTATAAATAGACATTTTTTTTAATTAATTCAGTAGCTGAACAACTTAAAACAATTTAAAATATAATAATATAATTAACATTGGAATTAGAACAATGGGTTTATATTAACATAAGAAGCAATATATAATTTATCTGGTCCAGTCGTAAATTGTTTCACAGCAACAAGTTTGTTTTCCCTGGTATATTTAGGTACGAAGAAACTTTGCTAATAAGGTCAAATCTTAGTAAAAGTAGGTGGAATGATAGCGAACTATGTTATGAACGCTAAACAAAATCTACATTTACAAGACACCATTCTATCACATTATACCATTAACACGTTTTCTAAATTTTTAACGGGAAATTTTTGAATCTCTATCAATGGACGAAGGCGCAGCAATTGTTTTAAAACATTAAGCTAAACTTACATAATTAATGAAATCAAATCACTTGATAAAGTAAGTATCGAGAATAATGTTAATACTGCACATTACACAAAATGCGTCTAACTTTCAAGAGCACTTTGAGTCGACTTCAGGCAATATTTGAACCACGTAAGTAAAGCCATGGTAAAACACCAGGTGCTATGAACTAAACAAATAACAAGTTCCTACTACAATTAACACCGCGCTACCACTAATTATAGTCTAGAAATGTGCATTTTTCTTATCAATAGACTTCATTAAATAATAGAAGAAAATTGCGCCTTAATTGTCTGACCGCAGAAACGACGTTCTAAGACTTAGAAAATTAAATTAGTAGTGGCCAGTTTTCCTACGAAAATAATGCAAATTATTGCTAACATAATAGGCTGCTTCAAATTTTCGGCAACAAGTAAATTTGTAAGCGTAATAATAATGCCAGGAAAATAATTATACCAATGCAATTTATATCTAGACCAGATAATACAATTACATGATTACCACCTAATTATTTATAAATAGACGATCGCAGTAGAATTACAATTCTAACTCTTTACAATCAATAAAGAATACTGGTGACCACAGCCGATTAAATATGGGATTTTGAATACTAAACTTCTAAATAAATCTATTAAGCAAAACCTATTTTTACCGTTAAAAATAGGTTTTGCCTAGTAGATTCATTTGATCAATAAAATTTAAGACGCAAAAGTAGTGTTTTATGAAGTTAAGAAGTAAACTCGTGTGACACGATGTCGATGTTTGAAGGAACTCTGTAAAAAGTTTACAAATTGATAAACATTAACGAAATGGAACAAAAGTCACAACTGATTAACAAAAATGAGTAACCTGGAGTTGAAACCTTTTACTAAAAGGATGTAACAGTGGTTGTCATTTAACTTTAAAAACAGTTGCGAGATGTTTTAAAAGTTAATCGACAGTCACTTCCTACTTTAACTTACCAAGTACTAAAGTAGCGAATGCCGATCGCGAAAAAAAAGAATACCTCTGAAGTACTCAAGAAATAAAAGCACAAAATGATAAAGTACACTAAATAAAAAAAAGTGATATTGTTAAGATCGAGAGATAGAGTCGCGGATATTGAAAAATAGACGATGGCTGAAGAGACCGGCCGTACGCGGGTACCCTGAGTCCCGACTGACTCCAGCGAGGGCTGAAGTTCGTCTGCCAGTAAGGTTCCGCGCCTTACAAAGAGTTGGCTCGGGACTCGGCTTCGCGCATGCGCAACAACCCCGCCGCAACGCTGCACCACCCCATAATACATATAAATTCTAGTCAGTGCACACAAAGTTGCATTTCCTATGCTTTTAGCTGACGTAAGTTGTTAAAATCCGCCGGCGATTTAAAAATATGTTACAACTAATTCGTAAACGAGATAAAACCTGTGTTCCACTTGTTTGATTGTTTTTGTTTTTAATTAATATTGTATTTTTAACTACCGATTTTGATTAATGAACTCTTAGTACTTAGATTAAGGAATGTTTTTATGAGATAACAGTCCATCAGTTGGTTTGCAAGACGGTAAGTTAGCTATTAGAACCGTCCATCAACAAACATAAGTGATAATGTATCTCTCAAACTTTATAAATCTAAAGTTTTTCGTACGGTTCATGGAACACTTATAGATTTTAAAAATGTTTAAACCCTGTCCTTGTTGTTGTAGAAATATTTATTGTTTTGTATGAAAACTTGATAATGGACATCTACGTTCATGAACCCGCAGACCGGCCGCAAAATCTACCACGAACCATACAAATTTAGACCCGTACCGGAAACTAATTCAATTACTACAACGATTTTAGCTTAGAAGTCGATCTTGACTTTCATTGTTAAATTGAATATAGTTCTATTGACGCCACTTCGTAAATGTAGTGATCAAAATAATCCATTTGCCTGGAGGGGTAAATTATAAGGACTATGACAGCCATTTGCTGAGTTATCCAGTTATCCAAGGCATTCAGGTCCTACCCTAGATTAAATACGTAAAAGTCAAAGCATTGTCTCCGTCTCGGAGTCGTTTGAAGCGCGTCTGTGCCGCGGGTATTGTGATATCAAAGGCAATCGCTTTTCAATACGATATAGCTGCAGCAAAAACTGGATCTTAAGATACACTCTTAAGACCCCGGTATTTTTCATTAAGGAAATAAATCATTTAACAGGACTTAGCATCAGGTTCAACTAATATTGTTTTCAAGACCTGAGGGTATTAAACGTCTGTGCGCAGTGGAATACAAACTTATAACAAAGGTTATTCATACGATATTAATAATAAAATAGGACTTGTAACTGCACCGAGCAACAAGAAAATGTACTAAGAAAAAAATGATCAAGATAATTGTGATCTATCAACTAAACATAAAATATACAGATACGTATTACCACAGAATTAAAAAGTCAGCTTTCATCGACAGCTTATAGCATAATTTTATGAAACTTGATAAAGTTGGTATTAGTAGCTATACGATTCCCTATTTAACTGGTAATACCAATTCACCCATTAGTAACTAATCCGAACCTATGCTGCGAATAATCCAAATCCAGCTATTCAATGGTTCGATGATTGATGTCGGATTAATTCTGCATTTAGTCTAGATACCGTATTGTAACGCAGGAATGCAGGTAGCGGGAGTTATGCCATATAATGTACTATGCAGTCTACATAATGTACTGTACTACTACGTTTGCAAATACTATACCAATCAAACAGATGAATGAGGATTTCATTGCAAAAATACGTTTCTTCTAAATTTCGTAGGCTTTTCGTAGGCTTTCGTAGCAAATATCGTAACTGGCGCGTAGCAGCTACGCCATTTAAGTGCAATGTATTCTTTTCGTCGCTGTTTATTTATTATTTCCTGCGCTACGTTGCGTAGAGTCCATGCCACGTGTAGTCGTCAACATGTAAATTACAAAAGGGAAACTTATACGGGTCTTTTACAAACAGACAGTAAAATGCTAAGTAAGCAAGTCAACGTATTTTTCTTGTATACTCGTGATTATATTCTCCTATGAAGAAAGCATCTACACTTCGCTATTCAACAATGTTGTTTTAATATTTAAGTATAAAATGTTTCATAGTATATTCTACGGCTTTACGCCTGGTTACCACGCCGCTGCGCTACCCTTAGCTACAAAGTCTATAATCCGTCAATGCGGTTGCATAGTCACGTTTTGGCTTCGGGAGATCGAGATTTTAATCCTAAAATTTTAAGTGCAGAACTTACCTAAACAAATACTAAGCTTTGAATATTATTTGAAATTCGCAGAGCAGAAGCGCATCATTATCCAAGATATAATAGTTCCAGGAAAGGGGCTTAGGAGCGTGCAACGTACATGGAACTATTGAAAGACTTCGGATTAATCTTCTCATT